TAGTCTATACACTTTTATAGCCCATAAAATGAGAGCAAGATCTGCCAAAGACAACTCCTGGTCTAAATCCTAGTCTAAAATAAGTTCCAAAGCCTCAGAGGTAAGGTGCCTTCTGGAGGTACCTTTTCTTCTCCACTATTGAAAAAGTCCAAAGCAACAAGCCTAGACCAGCAACACATTTTTAGATGATTAAAAATAAGAGAGAAGTAGCCCAGCATAAACATCGAGGGATCTCACATGGTTCAAAGCCCGGGAGAGGTGGAGAGGAAAGCCTGTTCACCTCCTTTGCTGGTGTGTGGCTGATGGGGTAAGGCTGAGGTCCAGGTCAGCCAGGCACCAGGCTGACAGCAACCAAACCTGCAGACGTCAGAGGAGATTTGACTGCTGGATGGCTCAGCTTGCTCAGCGTTTGGGAACTCGTGCCTGATGAGCTTCCTCCACAAAGCTTGTGTCACTCTGGATTTATGTGAGCAGCGAGAAACTGCAATCTGAAAAACCAGCCGTGGCCTTTGGCGCTCGCAGCATTAGGATGGTTCTTCCTGACAGCTTCAACCATGCCAGATTATGAGCAAATAATTTAGCAAGCTATAAAAATGGAAGCATCTGTATATTGAAGCACTGTTCATTTCAGATAACAATGCCATACTTTTCAGCACCACAACATTTTTAATTATTTGAATTCTTCCTTTTTCCAAAAGGCCTATTCGTTACTGTGCCTGTAATTGATCTACACTCTTGCTTTTACTTTACAAGGCTAACTCTGAAAAAAAAAAGGTCTCTCAGGCAAACAGACCAATTCCTAAAAGCTTTTAGAATTTTAGAAAAAAGTGGAAATTTGCCTGGCTCAAAGTCATTAATTTATTTTCTGACCAGTAAAATGCTTTTTTCACTAATATTGGCCAGTACTCTATACCTTCTCTTTCAACACAGAGTTTTAACCACATTTCTTTTCCAAGAGAAAATGAGGTTCCATTCTGTTGGGAATGTATTCGTAGTCTTCCATGCACCCTGTTGCAGGGCATGGAGAGGGAGGAAGAAAGCCACAGAGAGAACTCCCACCTGCATATTCCCCTGTCCCTGGCAAACTCGGGACTGTGATGTAGCTCTGGGCCTGCCAGCTTCTCCGAGCCTGGTTCAGGACTGGCATCAGGCAGTCTGCCCCTGTCCTCACTTTTGGACCCTGGTTCTTCCATCATAAGACTTCGGATCCACCTAACTCGTGGCATGACTGTGTGGTGAAAGCTCACTTCTTTGCATGGCCAAACAGTCTGTATCACATGTATTCCCAAAGGGGTCACAATTAATGTCTTTATCCTCCGTTAGCTCAGCTGAATCCGTCAATAGTTCTGTCTAACCAGGCTTACTTCCGCAAACCTTTCCCCCTCTTTGACCTTTATATTTTTCTGTGTTTGCTCTTACATTACACAGGCAGCTGAATTTTTAGCACCATCCAAGGAATATTAAACCAAAGTTTAATATTCATCATCATGAGGAAGGTTTTCTTTGCTCTTTAAAATAATATTTTTCCATTTTCACTTCCATCGTGGCTCTTTTAGAGCCTCTCAGGCAGTTGGAGTAATTGCTCTGATGTTACCATGAGACACAAAAATGTAACAGCAGTCATATATCTGTGACTGTATACACAGACAGAATAATTTCATATTCAAAGTTTGTTTAGAAATTATAATTGCTTTCGCCCTTCTGTGCACAGACTTCTGTATTTCTATCCAATTTATCCCTAAACCTGTTTTGGTTCCTAACCGCTGAATTCCCTTCAGTCTGTAAAAAGCCTTCAGGCAACTGAGCTATCAGCACTACATTTATTTTTTTCCCCCAATGCTCTTTTAGCGGTGCCACAAGACTTCTCAATGAGACAGCTGAGCTTGGCCATATTCCAGTGGATGCCTCTGAGCACATGGGCTTAATTTTCTTCCTCATAGTAAACCAGACAAATCTGTATTTTCGTTTTTAAGGCACTTTAAATAGTTCTATTTTCTATTAGAAAAAGACAAACTGCAATAATAAATCTATTTTAACTAGTGTGGAATACGGAGCAAAATTAATCAATGTAATGTCATTGCCTCAAAACGCAGCGAAATAGATCTGTGATTCTTCACTCCTATGTCTCTACCTATATTTATATATTACACTACCCAGTGCATGTGCAGCAGTTTGTGTAATACATGAATAAAAGTTAATGCATATAAATTCAATTCTTGTTCACATAGCATACTGATGAACTGCCAGTATTCTAGCTCTGTTTCAGTTTTTGAAAATTCAAAGACACCTTTCTAAGCTTGGGAATTTTTTGTAAGCCTCCTCGTGCCAGGAGCCTCCTCATAGCCTCTCCTCCTCCCTCTCTCAGGCAGCTGCGGTGCTGCACCGTGGGGCTCACAGAGACCCCCATGACTGGGAATAGACTTTGTATCTTCCACGTATGCAGGTTTGCAGATTAGTCATAGTCCAAGCCTTGATCTGCAGTGCATTTGTACCTGGGAAAAGTCCACAGACTTAGTGAAGCTGATGAAGCTTGTGGAATTGTGTTTGTTCAAAAATTTGACTTCAGGAAATAAAGACCGTGACATGAAGAATACTGGTGTGATGGTAGCCCTTTGATGATCTCTGTACGAATACTAACACCTTGTGACTCCAGCTAGAAAAACAACAGGGCAAATTCTGTGTCTAATCCGAGCTTACCACTAACCTATGATTTTAATCACAGAATCACGGAATCGCAGAATGTTAGGGGTTGGAAGGGACCTCTGAAGATCATCTAGTCCAACCTTCATCCCAGCATACCTAACCACTACACCATAGCCTCAAGTGCTAGATCTACTTTTTTTTTAAACACCTCCAGGGTTGGTGACTCCACCACCTCCCTGGGCAGCCCGTTCCAGTGCCTCACCACTCGTTCAGTAAAGAACTTCCTCCGAATATCCAATAGGCTAGACAATAACAGTGTGTTAAACATCTACCAGTTTCCAGAGCACTGGTGCCTGCAGGTGCTGTACACTTCGCCGACTCTCACAGACGGCAGATAACACAGCGCTTGGTCCATAGGGAAGGAGTAGAAATCTCCTCACCTGATATCATTCGGCACCCACTCCAAACCAGCAACCCTCATGCGGGATGGATCCTTCCCTGAAAGTGCCTCTTTTCCCCAGAATGCAGAGGAAGCCTTCTCGGTGGCTTAAGCCTGGTAAAGCTACCTGCAGTGAACCCAGTGTAATTCAGCCAAACGCTTGAGCACAGGCACAAATCACTTGTTGCTCAATCTAAGTGCATGGGTACACGTTTCATTTGATATCAGCTTGGAAGTCAGTCCAAGGTGCATCTGTTTACATTTCAGAATGGGCTTAGTGCAGAGGCTAGGATGGTTTGCTCTACTGGGGCTTTGAAGCTGGTTTTAGATCTAGGCAGCATGGTCAGTGGCGGCTCAGTGCACATTGTTAGGATGCTGCAGCCATGCCCCATCGGGGAAAGCTATGCCAACACACTGCATTAAAAAAAAAAAAAGAGTACGAAAAGTATCATTTACCTGAAGAAATGTTCTCAAGTTGCCCATGAATTGTCAGTGAATCATGACTCAGGAGCAATCTGAACTTCTTCAGAATGTCCAAAGATTGATAAAATCTGTAGGCATCATGAAAACTTGAAGCATTTCAGCCAAAATGGTGACATATAGGAGTATGAAAAAAGCAGTTTGGAGTGGGAACTTTTATGTAAGCTTAAACATAATAGTCAGGACGCAGTGAAAACTGCTCCCTGGCAATTTTAAAAAAACAGAGGATTTTTACATGTTGAGTTGAACATACATGTTGTAGTTCTACTCTTTTTTCCTCTCATATAGTTTAGAATTGATTTTCATTTCTCAAAAGTGTTTGTTATGTACAGAGCCCTTTAGTATGCAGTGTGATCCCACTGACTTCATGTCCTTTAAGTGAAGTAGACGTGTGTAACCATCACATCCATCTCTTTCGCTACATCTCTCTACTACTTGAATTACCGTTGAAGCCAAATACTCCCTTGACAAAGCAATAGTGATTACTTCTCTGCTTTGTGGTCATCTGCAGGCTGTATGTCTTCCTTTCTTCTTTAATGTGGACACCTAAAAAGCCCTATTAGATTTTTATCTCTTTGATCTTTTTTATAGTGTTACATCCTAAGCTAATGGTTCTGTAGTTTACATAAAGAATTAGCATTTTTTAAAGTTTAATAACCTGTAGATAAAATTACTTTGGACAATATTGTTATGGCTGAGTTTGAGCTGATACAAAATCAGATTCTTGGTGGCATAATGTGATACAAAACTATTTCATTATCATAATTACTAGGATTTAGATTAGAATTATAAACCAACACTTGCTCAGAAGTTAAGTCCTATGAGCTAGAGAAAATGAGGCTGACTTGCACTCCAGTATGTAACATCCACATTTTATTCTCTACATACAGATTAACTAAGTCTTACTAATAGCCTAGTTCTGATTTTTAACTGTGGTAGCTGTATTTGTAAATTGGATTTATTGCTAGCTTTCACTGGCATGAGATCACAATTAGGCTTCCTGTCTTAATTTCTCTCAGTATATTATTTGACCAGAAGTTACATAGCAGAAGCACATCACTTTGAACACCACAAACTAAATTAATTCTCTAGGGGAGAAATTTTTGTTCCAGTAAATCAAATTCATAGATGAATCTGTAAAAACAATAGAAGCTGCAGGTATGCATCAAGGACAGAATTTGGGTCCATCATCAGCCACAGTTGTGTATTTAGTATTCCAGGAGTAAATCCAGATTGGAGTGATTGCTGTTTCTCTAATTGACTGTAGTGGCCTGATATAAAGCCTCAAATTACAGTGATCAGTTTCCAAAAAAGGCTGTGAATAGAATTACTGCCTCTGTGGGACTACTTCCTGAAGGGCTTGCAAGAGTCTAATGTTTATATTAAATTAGATAACAAATAATAATAAAAATAATAAATAATAAATCTATTTTTTCAGAGTCACTTTTCTGTGAAGAAAGGAGCTGCAGCCTTGGGTATTGGTACAGATAGCGTGATTTTGATCAGATGTGATGAAAGGTAAGTAAAGACACCAAATACAGCTCTTTCTGTTTGTATGTAGAAAAGGATCATCACGTGCTGAGCTCAGAGAGAGGATGTAGTCAGCAGTTGGTATAATTTGTTGCAGCATTATCATCTTCAGCAGCCTTATGCTGACTTATCACACTTGAGGAACTGGCTCTGTCAGTAGCTTCTTTACAGGTGAGTTTTTATTGCTCATCAGAAATCTTGAAAGCTCCTTTCCTCAGGGATTTCTGGTACTTCTTTTTCTTTTGTCCTGAAGTGAAACAAAATATCGAACTAACAATCATTGTTTGTATGTTCTGCTAAGAAACCAGCAAGAAGCTTGTTTTGGTAAAAATGAAGCATTTGGAGACTCTCACGTTTTGATCCATTAAAAGGAGCTGAAATGGGCCTTTCATAGGAGTAAGACATTGAGGAGCATTTGCTACTGTTATTCCAATGCATCATGCCCCCACCATCTTTCTCAGCGGGACTGCCTTTCCAGCAGTGCCCTTGATGGGGACACTCTTGTCATGGGATGTGGAGAGAAGGGTCTTGGCAACATTGTGGGCAGCACAGGCCAAAGAGGAGGATGGCCTGTGGAAAGGAGTAGCAGGGCAGGCACCTAACCTATACGCCCTGTAGGCTCTGCAAAACCGGTGGTAGATAACTTCTTGTTTAACTCACTCAACAAAAAGAGTTTGATTCTCTGAAAAAAAAAACATTTTGAGAAGGCAAAGGTGTATTAACAGAATCAACGTGTTCTCATGAAGATTTTAATTTTTAGGTTTTTTGGGGGAAAAAAACCTTTATATGGGACAAAAATTAATAGAACAATCCTTACTGATTCTACTCAGAATCTTTTCAATAGAAAACACTCTTATTATGTGTCCCAAATATCACTGTTACATTGTTACATTGAATTATTTATCACTCTGGCATAAATGGAAGGTTTTACTGCTATCAAAATACTCTGATCCTGCATTAAAAACCAGGACCAACTAAGCAATTTACAGTGCTAATCACAGTGCCTGTGTGTTGACTTATGGACCTAATCTCTCTTTATTAACAAAAAACTGAGCACACCTTGAAGAGCAATTAATGACAACATCAACAAAAGCAGCACACATCAAAATAAACCTCTGATTGTTTCTATACGCTGATGACAGACGTGGATCAATGAAGCCCTGTCTTTCTTTTATTCTTGTGCAAATTCAGCATGATGATTTGCTGTGAAGACCACAATGCTTACCCTGGCCACTGTGAAGTAAAACAGCAGGATTACTGTGCGTCTCACCAAATTCCAGCAGGTGTTGCAGGGGAAAAGCAGGTTGTTAGCACAGATATGGGCTGATGCAGTAGAGATGACCCGCTGTGGAGATGTAGACTTGTGGGAGGTCAAAGCAGCACCATGAGATCTTTTTTATGTTTACAGCATGGCGTGGCATACTGCCTGGTGGCTCTTCCCCATCCTGACACACATCCACCAAGTTTGGGACTATGGGACTGTCATGGGACTGTGTAAATGTGTGGTGAATTTTAAGCCAGGAAAACATGTGGAAAGTCATGTTCTTGCTTATAACCCAAACTGGACAACCGTGCATTTCTGCTCCCTCTCTTACTACCATGCAGACTTACTGGTAGCAGTAGTGTATTAGCTGCAGGTTTGGGGTCAAAACACTTCAGTCTGGTATGGCAGCAGTGAAGACTGTGGTAATACAAGAAAACTTTGACACTAACGCTCCTTTTATCCTCAGTGTCCTTTTGCTGCTGAGTCCCTTCAGCCTCACCCCGTACCCCTCCTGCCTGTGATGCTTCCTAGCACATCCCATCCAACCCCCTACCACAGTATCTGGGGGAGGTTTGTCTTAGGATAAGCCCGTTATTTTGCGGTGCATTTTAAGTGTTGCAAGTCATCTCAGGTGAAAACACTTGAAAATGCTGTGCGAGTAAACAGTGCTGTTGGATAGTTTGCCAGGTTTGAAGCCGGAGGGGGATTGGGATTGTGTGCTCCAGCATGCGTCTGGACTATACTCAAAGCCAATCTACTGTTTGCTCCTTGGTAAAATTAGACATTGCACACTGCTGGCCATGAATTCTTGCACGTATTTTTTTGTGACCAGGGTCTGGATAATGAGTTGTCTTGGTAAAAAAATTTGGGCAATGACGGGATCTGCCCAGCTGTGTGTGTGTTCCTATGGACAAACTCAATAAATCAGAAACTGTTAGATCAACATCTGAACTATGCTTGGAGGAGGAATTCATTGCCTTCCTTTTGCATGTTTTTGAAATTTTTTTCTATTCCTCTAATGAACCCAGAAATAGCTTTTGAAGATAAGACAACTACTGCTTTTCTCTGAAAATGGGTATAAACCGATATCTACAGAAATAATTAAATGTGAGCTGCATAAGGATGTAAACTTAAAAAACCTAGCAGTATGTTTTTACAATAAATTAATAATTGGGGTTTTTTTATTTACATCCATCCAAGTGTCATGAAAACAGGGGTTTCTGTGCAAAATCGAAAATAAAACTACGAGTTTTGTTAGTTCCCCTGAAACTACTGGTTTGAGTTTTAGTAAAGATTGTGGGTTTTTTACGGCAACAGGAAATCAGTACTTGGTGAAAGAAAAAATCTGAAAATGTCTTTAAAAATATCAGTCTAAATGGGTAACATTCAAAGCCAGTGAAGACTTATTCCTGTAATGTAGGGAGCTGTCATGTTTCTGTTCCTATTATGTGTACTGTCTTTTCCTAGATAGTCTTTCCTGTGGCTAAAGCAAAGAAAGCCTTAACCGCAGTATTCATTATCAACGCTATTTTATCTTGCACCTAATTAATTTACAGGATTTCATAAATTAGCCTTCAAGCCTTGTACCACTGAGTCTGAATCTCAGGTAAATGGTTCACACTGAAGCTGTTGCAAATACTTTATACCATCAATGCAAAGAGCCTCACAATGCATTTAATGAGTTTGGACTAGTAGGTTCTTCTCCAATCCTGCTTCCAACAAATGTGAACATGTAATGCACCAAACCATGGAGTAGTCGCCCTGAAACAAGTTCATCTCTGGAATGGAAACATGGAGAGGGCTGCTTATACCGCAGCTGTGTCACACTGTGCAAGGCCATGCAGCTCAGCTGGCATTTTCAGTGCCTGCTGAAAATGAACCCTTGCTGGGACTTGGCACCCAGCAAGCTTCTGGGGACCCTGGGCTGAGCCACTCCCTGGGACCCTGGAGCATATTCCCAGGGCTGTAAAGTTAAATAAAACCAAGAGGCTCCGTGGAACAGCATCAGTCTTTACTAGGAGTGGCCACAAGATAATTTCTTGCAGTTATCATCACCATATTGATGCAAACTGGTTGACAAAATTGTTAAGGTAAAAACTCATACTAATGGACAGAGTCTTTCTGTTCTCTTCAGTGCTGGGTAAGTCTTGGGAAAAATGTCACTTTGTTCCTTGCTTGGGTTTCCAATTAAGTGAAGAAGTAACAGCAAGAGTTGATTTCAGGATCAAATTTCTGACATAACTCTCTCTTGCTCCAGAGGGAAAATGATCCCATCAGACCTTGAAAGAAGAATTCTTGAAGCCAAACAAAAAGTAAGTTTACTAGCTTGGCAGATTCAAAAAAATGAAAAAAAAGCTGCAAAATGATACATCTGGCTGTTCCGCTTTCCCTGGTAAAACAACATGGGCTTGCCCATTCACTTTTGATTTATTTCTTGAAAAGGTAGCCTGGCAATTAGTGAGGCAAGAGTTGCTGAGAAAATAGGTTTAGAGCTTCTTTATAACCTGTATGAGCCTTTTTGTATACGTTGTTCTGCGTAACATCCTCCTTTTTAATATTATCAGCCTATAATGCAGTTTCTCAGCTGAGTATTGATAAAACCAGTAATCATTTGGGGAATTTGTATTTTCATGCATTGAAAGTATTCCTCATAGACTCATTAAATCAGTGGAAGATAAACTAAAATCCACACATTTCTAAAAATGCATGACTTTTGTATGTGTTCATTAACAGAACCTAAAGTTAAAACATTAAAGTACACCATGAACTCAGCCCTCTGCTTTCAACATTTATGTAAGTAGTCAGTAGACACGCAATGAGCTTTGAATGCTCAAAGCTCATTAGTAACATCAGTCTTCATTAAAAACTCACTTTTTCTATGAAAAACAACACAGTAGATAAAAAATAAGGCAAAATAAAAACAGTGCTACTCAAACCTACTGCCCACTGCAGAAGGAAGTTCAGACATTTTTGGTAGTTTAAACCCCAGTTCCACAAAAAACATAGCCACTGTTCACCTTTGTTGCTCTGAGTACCACCAATGAAATCAACAGAACGGATGAAATCAACAGAATGAATTTAAAATGAAACACTGGTGTAAAAATACAGCAGACCCAAGGCCTCACAGTGCAAACGCCGTGTGACGGACAGCGAGTGCTTTTCTTTGAGGCACAACACAGCAATTAGCAGAGGGAATCCATGAGGTGGTCCCTGCCCTCCTTGGAGATCACAATCTTTTCCTCAGAAGAGCTGTTTCCCAGCTCTGCACAAAGGATGGAGCTCTGTGATGCCCCAGGAGATGACCCCAGACAAGATGGTCCCAAGAACAAGGGACCACCACTCCACCTCACAGGACTGGGCCACCATGCTGTCAGACGCTCGCTGGAATAATTCTAATGCAGCCCAAGGCACGGTCCACCAGAGAGATTTCTTGCCCTGTGGTGCCTGGGTGATGTTTCTTTTGTGAAACATCAGGAAGAGAAGACCCTTTTCGTTTCCGTGGAGCAGAATTGTTCTTCTGAGCCCTTACCTGTCTCAACGCATCCTAATAAATGGAGGATGCTGGTTTGGAAGTTTGCTGCCACCTTAAGGTAGAAACTATAATATCACCAGCGTCTATATAAACCAGTGTGAGGTAGCAGGGGTGGCCTCTAGGAGACACTTGAGGGCTCACTGTGGAGGTAGCATGGGAGGTGCTGGGGCTGAGGAGACTGCGCACTGACCTTGCCAAATGCTTCTATGCTTTCTTGCAGGGTTTTGTTCCTTTTCTGGTGAGTGCCACAGCTGGGACAACGGTGTATGGGGCATTTGATCCTCTCATAGCTATTGCAGACATCTGTAAGAAGTACAAAATCTGGATGCACGTGGATGTAAGTATCATCTTACATTGGGGGCTGGAATGCAAGGTGTATTAGCATTAATTTATTCTTTTTGGACAGTGTCATCTTGTTACCAGACCTGTTGTATTTGCTCCCTGTAATTAAGTCTTAACATCCAAGCTCTGACTTCCCACTTCTCTGAAAGGCTCTGCTCAGGGGGGCATTTTAGGAGCTGTGACTCTGTGGTACTTTTAGCAACTGGGACACATAAGATGACCTAGTTTGAGTGCTTTTGGCCTTCAGCTTTATCTCTGAATGCCATTAATACAAGAAATACATAAGAACCGTACTGAGCACTGGCTCAGCTTCTGGAGCAGCTGCAAAATAAATACATAAGGAAAAGGCTACGTTTGTCTGGAGTAAAGTACCTCAAATTGCTGAAAAGTTTAATGCAAATGCTAGAGAAATTTATCAGATTGACTACTTAGCTTTATCTGGGCTCTTGCCAATAAATCTTTCTGAAGGATCATCTTTAAGGCCTAGAATGGCATTTGTGTCGTTTTTGCAAATCCTTTCTCCAAAAACGCTTCATAGTTGAATTTCCGTAGGGCTAGGTATATTACTTTTCAATTACTGTGTCAGCCAAAATAAGTCCAATTCAAAGGAGGGATTCATAGTTGCCTTAAACTGCTTTTCAGTCAGATGAAACACATTCTTGTCCCACATACCTGTGAGTGAAAGCAAATGAGTAGGAGGCAGGAGTAGTGGTCTGAAATATGATGAAAACTCAACCAGAGCAGCTGAAATCCCAGTCTGTTTTGTTGCTTAGCCACTAAAAGAGAAAAGGCAGTTTACCCAGGAGCAGCCCTGCAAGTCATTAATTTCAGCATGGGGCAGCCCAGTGTGTCAGTGTCAGAGGAGGTGGTGAGGGAAGGGTTAGAAGACGATAAGGGTGAGCACTCAGATTATGGGCTATAAACTGCTGCTTTCCAAGCTGCTGAAAGAAAATCGTTAGCATGGTTAATGCCTAAGGCCCCATCTGCCTGGTCATTTTGAAACGTGCCACATCAGCAAGAAAAAAGAAAAGGGCCCCACACTGATGTGAATGTGCAGATGTCATCAGAGAAAAAAGTGGAGTTCTCATTAAGATAATATGTCTTTCCTTCTAGGGAGCATGGGGTGGCGGGCTCCTGATGTCAAGAAAACACAAATGGAAGTTAAATGGCGTTGAAAGGTATGATATATTAATATTCATTAAACACATCTATTAAACGCAGTGTAACACATTTATGATTACCATAGCAATGTCTATAAATAAAAATAAAATTAAATGTTATCTCCAAGATACAGTAACAATTCTGTGATTCTGTGAAATGATGTAAACTATCCTTCCAGTTGAAGTGTCATTGCTAAGTGCGTTTGTCCAGTGGTAGAGTAAGTGTGGCACTTGGTTTTGTAGTAAAAACAGCAGACATTTCTTGTTTGCTTCTCTGTTGCTTCCAGCATGTATCTGTGGTCCAGAACAGTTCCTGCACTATTCTCTGATTCAGTGTCCAGCATGAATTAGCAATTGCATTTATCTAAGAAATTAATCTTGGATGTCTTTTATGCTTGAGTACAAAAGGTAGATGCACCTGTAGTTATCCTGGCAGTCACTGACCACTGCTCTGTCACTTCTGGAGAGAATACCTCCCTACCAACTGACATCTTCCCAGTAAAGCTGTGCCTGAATGTGTACACAGTTGAAGCATGAGGTCATGAACATTACAGATACGTACAGCTGAACATAAGGGATGCCAGTCCAATTCAGAGTCTGGAAGGACTGAGCTTAAACTTAAAAACAGCTGTTTATTCAGAAACTTCCAATTAAGCTGTGGGACTCATTGCTGTAGGATATTAAGACTTGCATTCAAAGAAAGACAAACAAAAACCATTCGGGACTTCTGTGAGCTGCATATGAATGGCAGCTCAGAGAGCTCTGAGAGAAAATTGGTATATATTTACCCTGTCTTGTATTCTTCCCAGGACCTATTTAGGCCACTTGCTAGAGACAGAGACAGTATCCTGGATGGAATCACTCACATCTGAGTATTTCCTGAAGCACATGCTGTTTGAGAGGAAATCATTACTCACTTCTGTCTTTTTTTATCTCTAAATCAGATTGCTGTTACTTGCCAATTAAAATTACAAACAACTTCCTCATCCTTAGGAAGCTTAGGAGTATACCTTGATGATTTAGTTCCCCTTTCCTACATCTCACATGCCAAATCTGGAAAGCAGCCAATGGTTCTATGACTTTGATTTAGTTTAGACTGCCTTCAGCCCTCCAAAAAGAGTTTGCCTCCCAAATTGCTGTCCAAATCCTGCTGGAATGAGAAGTTCAGGTTGAATCTATATTGGAGAATTTTCCAAATAATATGCTTTAGATTCAAGACTCCACCAGATTTTATCTAGTGCTTTGATAAGCACTATCTCTGTTTGGCAATTAATTAATGAAATTTGTCATTTCCAGTGCTGTTCCTCTGCTTGATGGGCACAGCGGCTCATTTCAGTTTGTCCAGATCTCAAATGTGGGTACCTTTAGAGCAGGCTGACTAGACCCAACTTTTCTGGACATGGCTGTTTCATGGTAAATACTGAAGAACAACACAGTAATTACAGGTCTGTATACAAGAGAACTGGAGCTGGTAGTCATGTTTGATAGGGAAGAAAGGTACAAAGAGGGAATATTAAATGGAGCACTTTGTACTCCTGAGTACTTACATGTCCTTCTGGTAACAGGCAGTCCAGCAAAAATAAGTCCTGTCAAAGGCAGGAGTTGGAGGATCATCCTTACCATGCCCTCTGGACCCCACATGGCAGATGCAAGCATTTCCGTGGGTCTCTGGAGCAGATAGGTCTGACCACCATCAGGAGTTTCAGTCTGGTGTCCTTCTCCCAGAGGCTCAGCCAGGGAGTGACAGCTACATGAAAGAAAAAGCATGTTTGCAGCTGAGTGAGAGCTCCCTTTGCAGTGTCTGGGCATCCCTTTCAGGGCTGCGGCTGGTCAGTGAATGCACCTTAGTCTGGTTTTAATGATGAGTGAACAGGAAATTCTGCCAGTCTTGAATCTATCCTGTCATCTGTTTGAAATCCTTGAAGGAAAAATTTTCCTCTTTTTTTTCTATCTGTGACCCACAGCCAAAAACATCACATAGGTGCTTGGTGCTTAGTTATTTGGTCAAACAGGAGATGCTTTAAAAAACATGGGGATCCATGTAGCTTTTTTACTTCACTGTTTGACTCAGTCGGCAACTTCTTCAAGCACATACTGGTGACTGAAGCCCAGAATAACTGATAGCAAATGAAAAATGGTGCATTTTTATTTTACATAATTAATTTTTTTTCTGTGTGCAATTGTGATGTAATTGGAGAAATAAATTACCTCAGGGGCAATTAAATGTTTTAGGCAGATAATTAACATCTGGCTGTTGCCAGTAAATAATCCTTTGGCTTGAGAAAACACATAACGCCTAGAGGTCTCTTACACCTAGAAGTCTCTTAAAGAATTTCTGACCGATTCTGCATAGGCACAGATAAAAGCTAAAAAGTATCATATCAGGGGAAATATATAGACCTGAATGTATGTTTAGAATCATTGGCTTTGGTGTTGTAATCAGATGTCTGAGTCTGAGCTGATTAAAAGCTGCCAAATACTCAAAAAGCCAAGCCAAGTGGCCAGATGTTGCCTGTGGAACACCGTTCCCTACAGATTTTGCATCAGGCACTTGTACAGTTCCATTTAGATAGCGAACAAGAAGGCACAGAAGCGGTACTCAATATCCATGTGAATTTTGAAGTTGCTTGCTTTGAATGAGTGGAGGCAATTTGGCAGGAAATGATAATGACACAAATAAACCTATAGTGTTATCCGCAGGTCCTACAAAGGAGAATACTGCCAGATTCTAACATGCCCACCTCTGTAACATGCCCACCTCTGTTCACATAAATGTTGCCTGCAAGTGTGTTCTGGGTCCCTCACGTTTTCACATGCTCCAGTTGGCACTCATACCAACTTACACCATCAAAACTCAAATCACTGTACTGCATGAAATCCTATACACCACGCATCCTTGACAGCCTGCCAAGTAGGATACAAATGTATACATCTATCAGCTAATCATCATATGTAATTAAAATAGTAATTCAAAAATAGCCAGTGAAGCGTAACACAAAATAATAAACACATGGACAATCTTCCATTCAGCTCTTGCCACAGTCCCAAATGCCTCTTCTCTAGGCTGTTTTGTGACAGCACTGCTTGCACCCTATTTGCACCCTGTTTGTTCACATTATCTAGGCTGACAGCTGGTTTTGCAATGAATGTCTCCTGAAGGGAGGCAGATCACTCTTTTGTGGAAGGGTGGATCAGTTCCATATCTATTACTGTGATAATTCTGGACCCAGTCCTTCATTTGTGTGAATTACCATAGCCATGCTAAAATTAAGGAACTATGAAAAATTACCATGAGCAGAGTAATGCAAAAAATTACTTTGGGCCAGGTTTTCTGAGATACTCAGAAACTTAGAGGCGCTTAGAAATACTTAAAGAAATTTAAAAATATGCCTGTGTGAGCTACTTACTAAAATCTTGCTAAAACTGGAATCAGTGGGAGGGAATTTGCTAGTTTGCCAGCCTCCTATCTGCATCTTTAATCATCTGTGCAACTTCAGAAAGTTCATCAGTCAAGCGAGTGTTTTTAGGAAGTTTGCCCTATATTTAGAAAGTATAGATGACTCCCAAGAAAGCTTAATACTGATAAAGTTCAGTGGACAGAGCAGTTATCCTGTGGTAAGTTGCCAGGATTGTTATCCAAAAACCACCTAGCGTAGATTAGGTCCCTTATGAAGACATTGCTTTCCTAATATCTGCCATGATTATTTTCAGCTTTGCTTGCTCAGGAAAGGAAAAAGATCTGCATTGCTACGTGTTCATTATTATTCTAATTATTTCTAAATGTCTCCATGGTTTCACCACCATGGCATAATATCTGTGTTTCATGTGGTTTTGCTGTCCTAGGGCCAATTCAGTGACCTGGAACCCTCACAAGATGATGGGCGTCCCACTGCAGTGTTCAGCCCTGCTAGTAAGAGAGGAGGTATGTCCTGATATACTTGCCTCTCTGATCCCTTCTGACATTTTGCTTCTGAAAATCCTGGATGTTTTTTTCATGCCTGTGTCATAGCCAATACTAGCTAATGTGATGAGGATTATAAAAGAAACGGAGAAATACACCTCTAGTTACATGCTCAGGCTGTGAATGCAAAAGAAATTAACGCTGCTATCTAGCAGAAATGATAGATCCCATCAGTGGCAGTATTTTTGCAGAGTTTTGTGGCTTTCCATTCAAAGTGTTCATAGGTAAGTTCTGGGTGCACAGCTGTGCAACCCCGTGAGTTGCTGTGTAGCATAAAATGTAGCTGTAGGTGAACTCCAGTCCTCTTAGGTTGAACGGTATGATATAGTATACATGCAGCACAACTTTGGTCCAGAATCTAGGCACCACTGCATTTTCTAGAGTTCAATGACAGATATTACCCTCCAACTCTAATGCGTGTATTCATTTTGGGGCACATAGAAGTAAAAATGGAATACTGAGTTCACTTGGAATACAAAGTAATTTTCATTTAGTACTAGAATTTGAATTACCCTTCAAGCCTGTAATTTTCATAGTACCATCAGTTACTGGGACAGCTGCTATACAACCACCACTTGCTAGACCAGCTATCAAAAAGCTGGTTGCTGTTTTGCTAGCAGCTGTACAACAGATTGTATACAAAGTGATTACACTTAGAGAGAGTGAAGCTGGCTTTTATTTCCCCGCTGGGTCAGTTCCCTGGGACAAATCCTGCCTGGCTGAAGTTAGTACCATCCTTGACCTCTAATGAGAACAGATGGCTCAGATTAGGAGAAAGTCAGGGGTTTTTCCCTCTCGTTTTCCTATCTCAGTTTTGACTTATACAGGAAGATTAGACTTGATGATAAACAGCCAAGTTTTGATTCTTCTTGGACTGGAAATTGCAGTTTTAGGCAAAAGCCCTAAGGTATACCTTAAACTTGGTTGAGGAATTAACTAGAGCCAGAACATGACTCTCTGCATTTCACTTAAAAAGCTAAAAAGGAAGCCTCATGCTTGCATGAGCCAGGTTTCTTCACCTTGTTGACATCTGGCCCTGCCACAAAGCTGCCTCTCAGAATGGTATCTTGCTTTAGCTGGCTCTTTAAAGGCCATATCCTTTTCTGTCTGTTTAAAGCTTTCTATACTGTTTAAGCATCCAATACAATCTGCAACTGAGGGCTTTGCAGAAAGAGCTATGCCTACAAAGAAAGAAAACAAGGAAAATCAGAATTTTAGAGCCCAAAGCAATTAGAAAAGTGATGGGATAATATTTAGATTAGTCACCAAATTGGCTTGGTCTGACTCAACCAGAAAAGATGCGTTTCAAGCAAAGAAGGAAAAGGAACCAGAACAAAGAATAAAAAGCAAGATCCAAAACTGAACTTATGTGTAATGATGCTAGGAAGCATCGCTTTGTCCTACTTTAAAATAAAAATAAAAATGCCTTTTCTCTGGGCGTGGATTACGTGTTGCTGGATCTCAGGTGTCCTAGGAACTGAATGAGATATGAAAATCTTAGTCACTGAGCGCTAAGTCTGATCTTACTCTTTTTTTTGATCTTGAACATATATTCCATTGAATTTGTGTGTTTGTAGTTTCTCACCCAAGGTAACCCTCAAAGCAGTAGTCACATCTATGTCAACATCACTTTTTTGGTCTCTGTTTCCATAAGGGGTTGATGCAGAGCTGCAATCAAATGCATGCTTCCTACCTCTTCCAACAAGACAAGCACTACGACCTGTCTTATGACACAGGAGACAAGGCTTTGCAATGTGGACGGCATGTTGATGTCTTCAAGCTATGGTTGATGTGGAGGGCAAAGGTAGGACTGACTGCAGTGTGTTTGTCTGCATTAAAATAAAGCACACCAGATACATTTTTTTTCCCTGTAATCATCATTTTAGAAAATATCTGACCTGAATTTCCTATCTATAACATGAAAGAAAGAACATTTTTATTTTCTGGTTTTTTATACTTTAACAATTTAGCTTCAAAGCAGCACTCGATTTTCAAACCTGAACTCCCTGGCTTTATATAGCATTTGCTTTGTGTAACTCTAGGAATCTAACAGCATAAATCATATACCTAGGAATGTTGTTACGAACATTTCTGGAAATAAAAAGATGTTTTAATGACATTCAGAAATTAAACGTGGCATCTCAAGACTGGAATACCTAGTTTCATTGCATGCAGTTGATTGGAAGTCATCTTTTGAAGGAGTAGAGGAAAACTGATCAAAATCCGTTCTCTGGGAAATCTGAAAACACCAGCTCTAATGATTAACTCATCATAAGTTCTTCCATGTATTCTTCCAATCCATTATGTCACGTTGCTTCAAGTTAGTTCAGTGCAGATGACATCACTGTTTTCATTTCCAGAAGGCCTTAAAGGTCCTCATGTTCTTCATTAAAACTCTGAAAACAATTCTGAGACAGACATCAGATGTAGCTGGAGGTGTGGGAGACTGTTAAGGAGGACGCGAGTTTCTGTGGTCGCAATAGCTGTTGCGTTAACTGGGGTCTCCCGAGTGGCAGGCAGTTTTAGCCACAACTCTGGCTTTTACTCCAAACCTTTCTCCCGGGGGCTGTGCTAGTTCTACCCTGTTTTGAAATCTCAATACACAGAGGGATAATGACGTGAGCTTTTAAGTCAGTTCAGCACTGCCAGAACAGATTTAGCAGGGACATGCATCCATTACTCAGAGACATTTCTTCTTCTAAACTCCATTTTTGCAATATGCCGGGTACTGCTTTTTCTCCTCTGACTCCCCACTTGTAATATTAATGTTACAAAATAGGTTGTGTGTTTCTTAAACAGTTTATCTACTCCAGCTCTATATTCCACTTCCACGCTCATAAAGCTGGATTCTTTGTTTGTGGCATCACAGCTGGTGATTGCAGGAACAATTATGATGTCACAAGAGAGAGGATTATGACTTCTGCCAGAGAAGAAAAAGCAGGATTTGCTGCAGCTCTTAAAAACACAGCTTCTGTGTTTATATGGTGTCTCTCAGAAACAAAGAGAGAGAAAAATACTGCAGAGGCAGAGGAGTATCTAAACAAAATGTGTGTTTTCACAGGCATCAGGCCAGGCTCTAAGTGTGTATCTGCCCATTCTGTATTTAGCTAAAAAAAAAATTGTTCTTGGAAAAGCCCCCAGCACATCTCCCCGGGAAGATTAAAATGCCCTATTCTGAAAATAGCAGGAGACTCCCCATGTCTGGAACTTGACACTTTCTGGAGACCCTCCTCTGTGCCAGTCCAGGCTGTCCAAGACCATGCTCTCAGCCTTGCTGCAAAATCTCCTGAGGGCACCCTTCATCAGCAGTGATAGCAGCAGTGTGCTGAGAACGAAGCTAGTACCTGGTGCTTATTTTGCAAAGTGGCTGTAGGGGAGTCAGTGGCAAGAGCTAGAGAGAAAAGAGCTCTGCTTAGCAAAGTGTCCTTCATCTTGTAGAACTGGATCCTTAACCTGTCCCACAGAGAAATCTGAGAGGTGGCTTGTGCTGGTGCTTTGGCAAGTCCTGCATGGTCCTTTTGGTCTTTAAGCTCACAGAACATGTAGTCGCATAACTTTTGTTTTCTCTTTCTAAAGGGAACCACAGGATTTGAAGCACAAATTGATAAGTGCTTGGAACTTGCAGAGTACTTGTACAATAAAATAAAGAACAGAGAAGGGTATGAAATGGTGTTTGATGGAAAGGTATGTGTTTTAACTTCTTTTTCCCAGTTGGTCACCAGCACTTGCCCCTGTCACCTATCGGGATGCTACCAACAGGTCAAACCTGGCAGCATGTGACAGAAAGCAGTGTCCCTGTAACAAAACATGTTGTTGTGCTGATACCTCTCTTCCCCCTGGGGTCCGGGGACAAGGGAGATGAAGCACCTGTGCCTACATTTTCAGTTTGCTCAGTTTCACCCACTGCAACTAAACACTGGCACCTCAGGCTAACACAGCACACAGAGTTGGGAACCAGCTCTTAAGTAATAAACAGAAGTTGCGGTTCTGTAATACCACAGTCCGTGGGGGTTATAGTGTCCCACATGACTCTGAAAGGATGGTTGTGCAA